GACAACTACAATGGCCAGGCCCTAGAAAGGGATCGATTCACACTAATTAAAGCAATACTTAGCATCTACACTATTGTAACTTCTTCCAAGTAAACAGAAAATTCAAAAATATGGTTAGAACAGTTGCATGTTTAGCTGGTTAACCTAAATCTATAATCAGTATGGGCACACGTGATTCCTGCCTCCTGATACTTAACACCTTTCCGTCATTCCCTCCCCCTTGAGTATAAGCAGGACCTGTGACTTGTTTATAACCAATGGAACGCAGCAAGGGCCATGGCCTGAGTGTGACTACGTGTACATATTTACATAAGAGTGTAGCACTGGCCCATCTTGCGAGTCTCTCCTTTGCTGGCTTTGAAGAAGCTGCCAACAGCTTAATAACCATGAGGAAATGAATTGTAGTATTTAATAAGCGGCATAGAAAACTACCTGCAACTGAATACAATCATAACCTAAGCTATTTATAAACTCTGTTCATACAAAGGGCATGTTTGTTCCAATTTCTAAACACTTCAATAAGTGCAGAACAATTTAATTCATGAACAACACCAGTCAAGTATGTACATATATGTAAAATTAATTAGATAGTATTTTGCTACATATAGCAGTTCCTATACTTCTTTTTTAACCTATTTGCTAATATACCCAATTGTGCAGATACCCAGAATACATACTAAGTATAACCTTAACACGATTCTTATAAAAACTGACAATTAATCAGTGGTATTGGTAACCAGAAAATAAATAAGTGGTTACCAGGCAAAGTAATCCAATTGGAGAGGTCTGGGGGACTTGCTGGAGACACTACCTGTTAGTAAAACAACGGAGCTTGTACTGGCTTTGCAGTCAGCAAAGCATCATAAGTACTGAGGTCAGGCAGCTGCTCTCTCATCAGACGGTGCCCACTGCCCACAAACCAATCCTCCCTTCAGCACCCACTCACCCTGCAGGCGAGAAAACTCAAAATATTCCCAAAGCAGAAACTTCCACAACGGAGCCCATACTTTGGCACAACAAAGTATCTAGGGTGTTTTAGGATTATGTGAGATTGCAAATGAGAAAAATTAACCACAAGAGTTCTTGATTTTTGGGGGTGGATGGGGAGGAGACGGGTGACAGGATGGTGATTAATTAGTCATTTTTCTGAAGCAAACATTTCTCTTCTACCACACGGTAAGTTTTCAACTGAATAAAAGAACATTCAGGAATAGAAAGCAGATTAATCACAATATCCCCAATTCAAATATTCCAGCACTAAATACTAGTAAGAGTGACTGAGCATAATTCAACACAGCTAATTAATGCAGATAATCTAACACCTTAAAACCCACATCCGTCCTGAAGATTGAGAAATTGGCCTAGAACTACAAATTTTAACATATTCAGTTTTAAGCAATGACAAACTTCTTCAATAAAAGGAAGCAATTGTTCCTAAGTAACAGAAGGCACCTGAATTACAATCACATACCCTAACTTAAGCCAATCAATTAGGAGGTGACCAAAAGCAACCCAGTACATCAATAAATTGTCTAGATTAATTCATCTCTCTGTCTCACTTCCAGATTCAGAGATACATGAGTACCCCACATGACTTCTCTAGAAATGATCTCCATTGACTGGCATAATTTTATAGTTTAATTTACCTTCGATATCCTTGCTGGATCATTAAACACTATTTTACCATCCATCATAATTGATGTTACAAACATTAGCAACTTGATAGTGAAAAAAGTGTAGACATACACTAAAGCCAAGAAAATCCTAAGATACCATCAAGTTTTCAATATTAGACTATTCCCTTAAAGACCTGTTTTAAAACAAAGGTGACTAAATTTAAAAAAAGGCTTTTGTTCACTGTAAAACTTTTGTTAAACTCGGCACTCTGAGAAGAATAAAAAAAGAAACCTACTTGATCTAAAAATTCCTGTATGTTTTATAATCATACTCTGATATACAACTCAGTTCTAAGAATTCTAGGAAACTTCTGTAAACTGAATATAAATTAAGTACCTCTCTTCTATTTCTCTAGAGAGAATTAAATAAGAGTGAATATAGCCAAAATACATGTCCCAAAGAGAGCAAAACATAAAACCAACACAGAAAATCTCATTTAATTTGGTAATTCATTACGATGGAACTAGTTAACAATTCAACTTGCCAGACTTCTAAATTTTTTTAAAGTGATATTGTTTAGATTTTCCTTTTCCATAAGGGAAAGATAATTTTGTATCTGATTAGTACCATGTTTTCCTATTAGGAAACAGTAACAATACAAACATCAATTAAAGTTTTATAAAATTACAGAAATAACTTTCCACTAATTTAGAAATAATCCTTTTCTCAACTTTCAGATGGGAGTTCCTTTTTATTTGCCCAAACATCTACACAATTTCTAACTGAATAAATTACTAAAACATTAAGTCAACATGGAGTAATAATGAAGTCCAGTCACTAAAATAAGATTCAGGGACTTCCCTGGCAGTCCAGAGGTCACGACTCTGCCTTCCAATGTGGAGGGTGCAGGTTCGATTCCTAGTCAGGGAGTTAAGATCTCATGTGCCTTGGGGCCAAAAATTAAAAATGTAAAACAGAAGCAATATGTAACAAACTCAATAAAGAGTTTAAAAAATTAAAAAGCAAAATAAGATTTATCATCTGGTTCCCTAAATCTCAGGATGATGACAAACAGGGTTCTATTAAGTTCCCCTAATGAGCCCAACTACTGAAATACAGATAAAAAAATCTCATTAAAGCAAATGCTGCTAGAAAGATGCTTTTTCACTCTCAAGTGTATTCCATCTCCAAGTCTTAAGTGGGATTTAAGGTACTGGCACTTTGAGCTGTTCCTATCATTTAGAAAGAACAGGTAATTTCTCTGATTCTCTTCCAAGTTTTCTCAACTATGGTTCCTCATCTAAAATAACAAACACAAGATTATCCCAGTGACTGTTTTCTCAAATTTCCTAAGAATGATACATAACTAGAAACATTCCAAATGCACAATAGACTAGTTAACTAACTGCACACAACAGATACTTTTAAGACATTGGGGCTCCATTCTCTATAGAGACTTGGTTAGGAAACCCACAGTTCTCATTATCACTGTGCCTCCACTAGGCCCCAATCATGCTAACCCCTAAAAATACTAAAAATGGCTAACGTGTACAAATCTAAGAATTCAGAGAAGAAAACAGATAAATGCTTTACTTCTCCAACTTTCAGCAACTAGATCTTCTTCACCTGCTATTTCATTAAGAATTGATAGCACAGGTGTCAACTATTTGCCTCCACTCCCAGATGAAACATTTTAAACCCATACAGATACTTTGTTAAAAGAAAAAAAGTCCTTTAAAAAAAGTTAAGCCATCAGTATACCAAAGAAGTTACTAATCTGATGAGCCTTTTCCTATTCCCTTTCGTTAGCAAGCTGTTATACATAACTACATGCAGATTTTAATCTTAAGATAAATATATTTTTTTAGGACCAGCTTAGCTTTTATTCTTGCCACTAATCTCCCATTCTTAAGAAACTGTCTTTTGTTATTCTTCCATGTGGTACTACAGGACCTTCAGCTGTGTTAGTTATGAATCACAAATCACAGTACAGTCAGCACTAGTTCTTTTTCTCAAAAAGAAATGTTTTAAGGGCCAATCTTAAGTCAGTATTTTTAGTTACAAAGAAAAAATCATTTTATAACAAGTAATTAAAGGTGATTAAACAGTTGTTTTCTATTTTGAATATGCAAAGCGGTATTAAAAAGATGGGGGGAAACTAAACATGTCACCCCCATTTTTAATTTGTGCTAATGTGAATATTGATAGTACAGAAAATCAGAGCAATTACATTATTGAACGTTTCACTTTACCAACTGCCTGCTCAAATTTCTCACATCTACAAACATGAGTAAAGGAAGCAGAGAAATAGAGATGGTGTTTTCACTACTCACCTGTGCTCAACTGTAATTGTAGGTAATATCATGATGTGTAAAGAAAGCAATGATATGGAAATATTTATCTTCTATTGTCTGCATCTCTAACCAGATTTAACTTCTACATGAACTGGGAAGGGAGTGTCTTAATTCATTTACCATTAACTGTCCTGAAGGAAAGTAGAAACCATAAAACACAACTGAAGAGGTCGAATTTGCTTTCCTCACATCAGGGGTACCCCTCCCCCGTTTCTATCAATTCAAAAAGACCTGCCGTTTTGCTACTAAAATTTCGCTGCAGGGTCTTCTTGAATCCTAGCGAGCACAGCTTTTCAAAAACACCTGGGCTTTTACTGCATCTTGTAGGCAGAGCTGTAATGATTATTGGTTTCTTTCCTTAAGAAACAGATCTCAATTTTTTAATGCTCTGTATAAATAAAACAGGACTCGCATTAATCATTATCTAAAGCATCAATTTCCTGAAGTTAAAAATATACTTTTCATTAACACATTCACCCAATTAAAGCGTACACAGTAGGTGGGACTACCGACACAAGACTTGAGAATTACAGTTCTACATTAAGTTACTCCAAAAGCGACAGCTCTCTCCTTTTTCAAACACTCATCTGTTCATTTGAGACTCTGACTTTTGGCCTTTAAAAACTGCTCACCACCGGAGTCACCAGATACAACCACATTTAGCAACGGGTCCTGACTTCCTGCTACTAAAAACCACAAACACCAGGGTTATTGCGTTTGTTTTTAAAACAATATTTGCTCCCTTCACCTTCGGGAGCAAACAAGGGCTTTCTGTACGAGAGAGCCAAGAAGAGGTGAGGGTGCACCCGGGGTTCAAAAACCAAACACTGGGGTCCCGCGGTAGCGGCGCTGCAGGGGTTAAGAGGCGCTCTCTCCCTCTCTCCCTCCCACCCCCAAGAGGGGTGACCCGGCCCGGCCGCGCGACGAACCCCCAGCGCTCAGGCTGAAGGAGAAAAGGAGAACGGTAAAAATAAGCGCAGCCGCGGCCCACGTGCCGCCCGCGGGAGACAGAGAGGGAAGGGGCCGTACCTCCAAACATGTGCGGCGAGAGGTGAGCTGGTAAGGAGCCGATCACCAGGCGCGGCCCTCCGGGACCCCCGCTTGCCGGCCGGTCCCTGCCGCCGCTGCTGCCGCCGTCCTCCGGGCTGCTGTGAACCGAGTCCTGCGAGCCGTACGGGCCGCTGCTGCTGTTGGGGATGCTGAAGGTGGACTGAGCCGCCCGGGCCCCCGACGCCACGGTCCCCACGGCCCCGCCGAGGGAGCGGCTGCGCGGGGCCGCCGAGGCCGCCGCGGCGCCGCCGGAGGCGCTGGGCTGGTGCGCGCTGGGCACCTGAGCCGGAAACCGCCCAGCAGCTGCGGCTCGCGCCCCGCCGCCCGCGGTCCCGTTGGCCCCTCCGCTGCTGCTGCTGCTGGAAGGTAAATCCGAGCCCGAGTACGCGCGGGTGCGGCCGTTAGCAGCGGCCGGGCCGCTCTGCTTGGCGCCCATGTCCGCCCTGCCCCGGGCCGGGCCCGCGCACAGCGCCCGGAGCGCCGGGAGGGCGGGAGCGAGCGCGGGAGCGAGAGGGCAGGGCCGAGGAGCGGAGGCCGGCGCAGAAAGAAGCCCGCACGTCCAGGGCCGCCGCCCGGCACCCCTGGGGGCAGTCGGCGCCCGCCGCGCTCTTCTAGGGGGTGACGAGCGAGATCGACGGCCTGTCTGGGGACTCGGGAGACGAGGAGAGACGGTGAGGAAGGAGGTCCCGGCTCCGGCGGGAGGGGCGGCTCAGGTGGCTGCGCGGCTGCCGCTGCTTTCGGTTCTGGTGCGCCGCGACGGGCCGCTGCCGCTCTCTGCCGCCGCCGCTGCGCTCTGCGCCCGGGCCCTCGGCACCGCCTCCTCCCGGGCGGCCGCCGCTACCGCCGCCATCCTCCTTCTCCCACGGCGGCTCACGGGTGAGTGGGAGGTGCCCGCCCAGACTCCGCTGGGGCCACCTTCCCTCCTCCCCCAGCCACCCAGCAGTTATTAACTGAGAAGGAGGAAAAACGGGTGGCGCGGGAGGGGAGGACGCAGGAGGAGAGGGAGGGGCAGCGCGCGCTTCCCGGCAACCGTCACCGCGCTCCCCCAGAGAAGGAGGGGCCGGGGGGTAGGGTCTGGACCACGAAGGTTGGGGGGGGTGCTCAGCGGGGAAGGAGGTACTGCGGCCCTCGCACCGGAAGGCGGAGGAGCAGCGCGGCCCCAGGGTGCGCCCGAACCCGTGTGTTTGGGTCGCGCGCGGTGACCCCGCCCCCGCCCCCTGGCGCCGCCGGGCGGATTGGCTCCCACCGACCTGGCCCCGCCTCCCCCCTCGCTGCGGCCTTCCCGCTCCCGCCCTGTCTCGCCTAGGTGCCTTGGTGGGGTAGGTGCTGCCACCCGCGGATTCGGTGATGGACAGGTCTCTGGCCCCGCCCTCCCCTGCAGGGCGCGCCCCCCTCTCCACCGCGGGGCCTGCTCTGATTGGAGGAACGGAGCTCCTCCGGGCGCCAACCAGAAGACGGCCCCTCCTCCTGCACGTGGCCCTCGGACGCTGGACCTGACGGTGGGTAGTCTTCACCTTCTTAAAGCTAGGGCTGGGAGTGTCTCTGTTCTGTGTCTCTAGCCGCTGCGTTTGAGTGGGTGTCGACCTTCCTCCTTGATGTTACTCCTAGTGCGTGTTTTAAATAAAGCAGAAGCTCACCAATCTGATGATAAAAGACTGAAAACAAAAGAAAGAACCTAGGAAGCTGAAGGCAACTTGATCTGAATTAGATCTATCCCATTTAAACACTCCGACTGTGGAGAAAACAGAGTTAATAGAACTAAAGATAATCCAACATGATCTTCAGCAGTAGAGCAAAAACTGGCACAGAGACAGCTGCAACCGATTCATAAGACCTGGGGTCTAGGTCTGGGACCAAAACCAAGTGTAATAAGCAAATCATTTTACCTTTGTGGACGTTAGTTTCCTTACCTGGGATGTTTGTATCAAATCTCCACAGCACCGGCTGCTTTAAAACCCTGTAATTTCTCTAAAATGGCAATTAATACTAGGTTGGTGCAAACGTAATTGCAGCTTTTGCATTGTTTAAATTTTCCATTTGATATTGGAATACATTCTTAAATAAAAATGGTTGTGCTGTACATCATTTTAATGCACATTTCTTACTTGTCTGACTTACTTGTTTTTGGCTGAGTTATTACTTGTTTATATTTATTTCAACTATGGAAATAATGTTAGAGAAAAAGCAAATTCAAGCGATTTTCCTATTCGAGTTCACAGAGACAACTCACAGCAACACATTTGGCCCAGGAACTGCTTACAAATGTACAGTACAGTGGTGGTTCAAGAAGTTTTGCAGAGTAGATAAAAGCCTGAAGATAAACATAGTGGCTGCCCATGGGAAGTTGACAATAACCAATTGAGAGGCTTACAACTACATGAGAAGTTACCCAAGAACTGAACATCAATTATTCTATAGTTGCCCAGCATTTGAAGCAAAATTGAACGGTGAAACGCTCAAGAAATGGGTGCGTCATGAACTGACTAAAAACGAAAAAAATCGTTTGAAGGGTCATCTTCTCTTTTTGTACATTAGGTTCTTCTCTTATTCTCTATCCGATTGTGATATGTGACAAAAAGTGGATTTTATATGAGAACCAGCAATGACCAGTTCAGTGGTTGGACCAAGAAAAAGCTTCAAAGCACTTCCCAAAGCCAAACTTGCACACAAAAAAAGGTTATGGCCACAGATTGGTGGTCTGTTGCCAGTCTGATCCACTACAGTTTTGTGAATCCCAGCAAAACCAACACATCTGGGAAGTATGCTCAGCAAATCAATGAGATGCACCAAAAGCTACACCTGCAGCTGGCATTGGTCAACAGAAAGGGCCCAGTTCTCCTGCATGACAACACCTGACTGCACATCACACAACCAACACTTCAAAAGCTGAACGAATGGGCTATGAAGTTTTGCATCATCCACCATATTCACCTGACCTCTCATCAACTATCACTTCTTCAAGCGTCTTGACAACTTTTTGCAGGGAAAATGCTTCCAGAGCCAGCAGAAGGCAGGAAATGCTTTGCTAGAGTTCATTAAATCCCTAAGTATGGATTTGATACTACAGGGATAAACAAACTTATTTCTTGTTGGCAAAAGTGTGTTGATTATAATGGTTCTTATTTTAATTAATAAAGATGGGCTTGAGCCCAGTTATGGTGATTTAAAATTCACGGTCTGAAACCGCAATTATATTTGCATCAACCTAATAAAATTCTTCTCACTCCAATCCAAACTGTAATGTGATATTTTGGTGGCAAAGCATGGTCTAGATACCCAGTGGACACCCTACTGTGACCCTTCGATTTTTAAAATTCCTAAAAGTGTTCCCTATGTGAAAATAATAGTAACTGGTATTTTTTTGTACAAACTGCAGAAATACTTGGTCTTTTTTCTCATACTTGTAATGAGTAATTTATGTAATGATTATCACTTTGAAGTATGAAAATCAAGTTTTTAAACAGAACTGAAGAATACATGTATAGCTATTGATGTACTGTGTGTATATATATATATAACTACTCAATTCAAATCTTGAACTACTCAAAATTCTTTCATGTTGGGTATGAGCTTAATGAAACCAACGTTTACTTCAGTTCAGTCACTTAGTTGTGTCTGACTCTGCAGCCCCTTGGACTGCCACACGCCAGGCTTCCCTTTCCATCACCAACTCCCGGAGCTTGCACAAACTCATGTCCATCGAGTCATTGATGCCATCTAACCATCTCATCCTCTGTCATCCCCTTCCCCTCCTGCCTTCAATCCTTCTCAGCATCAGAGTCTTCCAATGAGTCAGTTCTTTGCATCAGGTAGCCAAAGGATTGGAGCTTCAGCATCAGTCCTTCCAATGAATATTCAGGACTGATTTCCTTTAGGATTTACTGGTTTGGTCTCCTTGTAGTCCAAGGGACTCTCAAGAGTCTTCTCCAATACCACAGTTCAAAAGCATCATTTCTTCAGCGTTCAGCTTTCTTTATGGTCCAACTCTCACATGCATGCATGACTGCTGAAAAAAACCATACCTTTTACTAGTCAGACCTTTGCAGCAAAGTAATGTCTCTGCTGTCTAGGTTGGTCATAGCTTTTCTTCCAAGGAGCAAGCATCTTTTAATTTCATGGCAGCAGTCACCATCTGCAGTGATTTTGGAGCCCAGAAAAATAAAGTCAGCCACTGTTTCCCCATCTATTTGCCATGAAATGATGGGACTGAATGCCATGATCTTAGTTTTCTGAATGTTGAGCTTTAAGCCAACTTTTCCACTCTCCTCTTTCACTTTCATCAAGAGGCTTTTCAGTTCCTCTTCACTTTCTGCCATAAAAGGGGTATCATTTGTATATCTGAGGTTATTGATATTTCTCCAGGCAATCTTGATTCCAGTTTCTGTTTCATCCAGCCCCTGTTTTATCCAGCCCAGCATTTCTCATGATGTACTCTGCATATAGGTTAAGCAGGGTGACAACATACAGCCTTGATGTACTCCTTTCCCAATTTGGAACCAGTCTGTTGTTCCATATCTGGTTCTAACTGTTGCTTCTTGACCTGCATACGGATTTCTCAGGAGGCAGGTAAGTTGGTTCAGCATTCCCATCTCTTTAAGAATTTAACATTTACTTGGTAAGCAAAAATAAAGTTTGAAAGGCCAAAGTCATTACCAGAATGATAAGCTCTAATTTAAGCAGGCAGTCTAGTTATTCAATAGGATTTAAGTTTTATTGAATGAGGCCTTTGGTGGAAAACTCTGGTTCAACAGGAATTTATACCAATATGGCAAGAACTTATTGTTAATAGCAAATTATGATTTTCAAAGGGAGTAAAAGACTTTTATAGGTCTCTGAGGAGCTAACAACTGATAAAGAGTTTCACACTCATCATTATACATTTTATCTTATATAAAATGTTATGCGTCATTATACATTATGCATTTAAAAAGTTTAGATAGCTATAATATGGAGCAAACCCCATTCATTAGTTAAAACTGTTAAATGAAAAGATTTAATTCTATGATTCTTGCTCATATCCAAATTTACATATATTTTGCTTCAACACATCCAAACGTATACTTTTAAATCATTTTTATACAGATGTTAATTACACCTAAAAAGTACTCAATGTTTATTCATTTATTCCTATCTAGAGAAAAAATCTCCTTATAGTGCCAGGTTTCCAGTGTTCACACCACTCACAACACCTGGAATTTTATATTTGGTTGTTTATGTCCATTCTTCAAAAGGTTGTAAATTCCATGAGGGCATGGAAAGTGCCATTTTTCTGGCTCACCATTGCAATGCTTGGCACATAATAACCTTTAGGTAGGTATTTGTTGAATAAATGAATAGTGAGAAGGCCATTTACAAACTGAACATAGAGGGTAAAAATTAGAGTTGTAATGATTATTCATTCTGCATCATAAATGTGTGTTTTGTTACTTAGTGCCA